GGAATTGATGAAGTGCGGACAAAGCTGTGGTGACTCACTAGAAAAGACTAGATGGGGACAGTCCAGGCAAAACGGCTCAGGGAAATGGATTTGATATTTCAGGATTATGAAATCTGTAGAGTCTCTTGTGATTAGGGCCTAAGGATAAAGCTAAGAATTTGGAGAATTCCTCATTGTATTCGACCAGAAATCTATACTTCAAACACGAAGACAGATAAATGGCTGATAATATTCTTTTTTTTTTTTTTTTTAAGATTTTATTTATTTGCGAGAGAGAGAATGAGAGACAGAGAACATGAGAGGGAGGAGGTTCAGAGGGAGAAGCAGACTCCCCGCTGAGCAGGGAGCCCGATGCGGGAACTTGATCCCGGGACTCCAGGATCATGACCTGAGCCGAAGGCAGTCGCTTAACCAACTGAGCCACCCAGGTGCCCAAATGGCTGATAATATTCTTAAAGGCTGCCAGTATATCCCCCCAAATTAACCAGAATTATATAATTATTATAGTTAACATCTACTAAGCATCTTTTCTCTGCTTAACAGAGAAATTATACATCTCATTTACTGTTCACAGCAACCCTATGAGGTAAATATTACCATCCTGTTTTTTTTACAGGTGAGGAAATGGAGGCTTACAGAGATAAAATGACTCACCCAAGGTCACATAACTGGAAGTGGTGGAACCAAGTCTTAAACCCAGCCTGAATCCAGAGCTTGTGCTCTGAACATGATGCTATAGTTGCACTTTAAACAAAACAACTGTAAAAGGTAGGAGCAAAGTTATTTTAACTCAGAGGTTTCCAAACACTACGTAGCAGTAAACTCTTCTCCAAATAAAATGCTTCTCAGAAGCCAGTATATAAAATATACAAAAGCTAAGCAACCCTCCTGACAGTATCTGAGGCTTCAACAGAACTTATCAGAGCACATCCTGAACACGACTATTTTCTATCATGCCAATTGGGTGTAAGTGGTAATACTGCTCTGTATTTTAAGTTCTAATAAAAACGACTTATATTTAAATGGAGAGAATGCAAGATCAATAGAGATCTGTGCTCTAATAACATGTATTTTTACTTTAATTGAGAACGTATTTCTAACTCAATGGTTTTAATATACTTAAAACCAATAATTTGCCTAAAATGATGGGAGGGGGCACTGAATGGGACCAGAGCTTGAAACATAATGTTCAAAATTTACCCACACAAAAAATTTTGTGGACAGATTACCTGTATAAACTTTTGGACATTAAGAAAGGAGAAGGGGAGATGGGAATATAATTTTAAGAGTGTTCCAATGCCCAACTCTCATATTGGGGTTTTTCAATACAAATAACTTGCTTATCCTCAACTTTGACATTTTAAAAAATGTTAAGTGAAGAGCAAATAATGAAAATGTTAAAGTGCACTTTGTTGTCAAGAGAGCAATATATTGTAACATAGCAACAAAAGATTTGTTAAAACTGTCAATGAAGCCAGGTAGGCAAAAACTTTGCTGATTTATTTCAGTCCAGTCAGCTTTAAATTTCCTCATGAATGCTTCAATAGCAGCAGTGAAAGCAGCTTATTCTGCAGTCAAAGCAGCTCGACGTTGCTGTCTTTAGCAATTTGTATGAAAATAAAAAATAAAATCTTAACCACCCAACTCAGATGCTTCATGATGATTTTGTAGAAACGGATGTTTCTACAGCTTCCCTGTTACATATTAATGGAAGTATATTAATATTTGTGGTGTGAATTTACTAAAACACCTGTTAAGTATTTTCACATTAATTGAGGGTTATTATTTTTCTCAGAAAATCACAAACTGAGTCTAGTTTTCTGTGAAACATTTAAAGAAAGGAAGGAAATGGCAGACTGTAGTCTCAATCACCCCTGCCTAAAAATGGTAACTTTATTCTAAGCAGTACAAACAAACTCCTATTTGTTTCCATAATAAACACACCTATGAGTTAATAGTGTTTTCTCCTTGTGAAGCAGGTGACCTTACCAAGTGACTGAGGTCTGGACCCAGGTTTCATCTCAAAGGCCCTGTACTCAAAAAACAGGGAACTGGTGAGATGATCTCAAGATTTGTTTCAATACATGTTGAAATGCTCTGTGCTTCATCCAACACATTGTCCAAATTCTTTCCACATTTAGCCAAAACTAAAACCTATGGATTCCAAGTTGTAAAATATTTTCTCTGGATTGCAAATATCAGCCAGCCAAGCAACCAACCAACCAACTGATCAATTAACAAAGCCTTGTCTTAGACACCAAGTTCTGCTGGTTGTCTCAGGTAGGGAAGACCTGACTTTTAGTTATGTAAATTGGGACAAGTCCTGTTAAGTGTGGCTTTCTCGTCTACAAAATGGGGATTACATGTCTTTCCTATTTCATTGAGTTGTCTTGGAACAGTGAGATAATTTCTGAAGCTGACTGTAAGCAACTAATGTAAGTTATTCATTTATCATTAAGCTTATCTTTTCAGACCTCTTTCAGACCTGAATTTTAAATGCAGTGTTAAGAGATTCAAAACTGAATACAAACACATAAGCCTCATAAAATACATGTCTGAAGAGAAAGGTCCAAGCATTTGAAATTCTTGTGGATCAGGATGGGAAAGCAAAACCTGCACAATGCCAAACTGTCCTGAACTTGCATCTCCATTTAAGGTCAGAAAACCAGAACAAAGTATTTTTTTTTTAAATATTTTATTTTATTTATTTGAGAGAGAGAATGAGAGACAGAGAGCATGAGAGGGAGGAGGGTCAGAGGGAGAAGCAGACTCCCCGCCGAGCAGGGAGCCCGACGCGGGACTCGATCCTGGGACTCCAGGATCATGACCTGAGCCGAAGGCAGTCGCTTAACCAACTGAGCCACCCAGGCACCCCAGAACAAAGGTTTTTATGGATTGATGAACCTATAAAATGTACATATGGAGATACTCAATTTTATGTGTATGTATACATATATGTGTGTCTGTATGAAAAGGGCTCTTCAAAAATGGACTGAGATAATTTGGTTAGGTCCTGGGAGTTATATTGTTTTGTTCTGCATTAAGATGGGCTTTTGAGATTCCTCTATATGGTTTATTTCTATGTGCTAAAAGTATATCATTTTCAAATTTAATCAATTAACATCTCGATCATGTGCTTTAATTACTGTACTTTTTAAAGTTTTAGAATTAGAAAATATATAATTATTGAAAATCAAAGTATACAATGATAATTTTTAAAGTAATCAAAAATTAGGGATGCCTGGGTGGCTCAGTTGGTTAAGCGTCTGCCTTTGGCTAAGATCATGATCCCAGGGTCCTGGGACTGAGTCCCGCTTCCTGCTCCTTGCTCAGCTCTCCCTCTGCCTGCCACTCCCCCTGCTTGTGAGCAAGCGAGCACTCCCTCTCTGACAAATAAATCTTTAAAAAAAATTAAATCTCCACCAGCCTTGTCTCCTGTCAACTCATTCTCCACATGTGTCACTGTGTAGTATGTGTCCTTCCTACTCCTCCATCCTTTTTACTGTACACACACAATCAAATTGTTTTACCAAGATATGTTACCGAGACTAAAATTCCACTTGTCTTAATAGCTTAGCCAGTCCTCCTCGGCTGGCCCTATAGTGAGGACAACCACACCTCCTCTATATCTTGTCACATGGTTCTGAAGCTCCTATACCTACCTGCTTTGCTAATCAGTCCATCTACTCTTCCACCCATCACTCTCAGACCCCTTCTTTCTTCAGCCCTGATCACAGTCACTACATCCTATACCCCTTCCTTCTTCTCAACATTAATCTTTTTACTTATCTATGTACCTTATAAAGAATTTTACTTTTTTCCCCTAATTTTTTTTTTTTTTTTTTTTTTAGATTTTATTTATTTAGGGCGCCTGGGTGGCTCAGTCGGTTAAGCGACTGCCTTCGGCTCAGGTCATGATCCTGGAGTCCCAGGATCGAGTCCCGCATCGGGCTACCTGCTCAGCAGGGAATCTGCTTCTCCCTCTCCCGCTCCCCCCTCTTGTGCTCTTTCTCTCTCTCACTCTCTCAAAAAAAAAAAAAAAAATTTTTATTTATTTATTTGAGACAGAATGAGAGAGAGAGAGAGCACATGAGAGGGGGGAGGGTCAGAGGGAGAAGCAGACTCCCCGCTGAGCAGGGAGCCCGATGCGGGACTCGATCCAGGGACTCCAGGATCATGACCTGAGCCGAAGGCAGTCGCTTAACCGACTGAGCCACCCAGGCGCCCCTTTTTCCCCTAATTCTCACACTGTTTTCATTGCATATGGACTAACTGCATTATATAAACCAATAAATCAAGACATTGCATGTTATTGTGAGGGTAAGCATGTTGTGCATTAAACTGATGGGGTATAAATACTGAATTATGAAGCTGAATTTATATACCAGTATGTAATATGAGGTAGGAACGAATTTTAAAAAAGATTATTTTCAGTATGATGGTCATCTTACTTAGTTCTCCTTTGCTACTTAATTTTTCCCACATTGTCTATTCATTCTTATGGTTCCCTTCCTGAAAAATATTAAGAAAACTCTACCTTTTAGTATTTTACTGCTTGACCACAGTGCTACATTATCTGTAGAAACTAAAGGTTTAAGAACATACTAAGTCAACAAAATAAGAGGGTTTTTTTGGGGGGGGGGGGGTTGGGAGGTGAATACAAAGAACTCTCAGGAATAAATAAGCACATTTACAAATACATAAAAGTTTTAAAACCCTGCATAAATAAATGCTTCTATCAAATACCCTAACTTCCCAGATTATTTCAAATGAAACAATCTGGGGCATTATTATTATTTTTTAAAGATTTTATTTGAGAGAGAGGGGAGGGTCAGAGGGACAAGCAGACTCCCCACTGAGCAGGGAGCCCGATGTGGGACTCGATCCCAGGAGTCCAGGATCATGACCTGAGCCGAAGGCAGTCGCTTAACCAACTGAGCCACCCAGGCGCCCTGCGGCATTATTATTTATAAGAAGGAAGCTAATGAAAAAGGTCTTACGGTGATGATTCCAGAACGATGCTATTAGCTTGTGTTGAAGATGGAGATCTGTGATTCACAAATACTTCACTTGGGGAAGTGTGAACCACATGGTCTACCAAATGACCAACTGAAGATGGTCGTAACCGGGTTCCCTCTTGTGTGAATGCAGAATTTCGACTACATAAAGAGGAAGAAAAATTGAGTGAAAATGTGGTTTAATTCAACTTTTTCCAGTTTCTTACTTATTTGATTACATTAGAAAGTGGGTATATGTTTTAACACTAACCACACTAAGCAAAATCTCTGACAAAGATAGTATGATTCAAACAGAAAGAATACCAAACAGGAAGTGAAGTCTAAGATCTGAACTACAGTCAGTGATCTGCCACAAGGGTTTTACCTGTTCAATCTATTATATCTACCAACCTTAATGTCTGAAGGCTTTAGTCACTACAACTTAGTGTCTTAATCAGCATTTATAGGATTAGAGCATTTATACCTCATTTTATTGCACTTTGCTTTATTGCTTCTTCTTTTTAAAAGATTTATTTCTTTCAGAGAGACAGAGAATGAGAGAGAGTGCATGAGCAGGGGAGGGGCAGAGGGAAAGAATCACAAGCAGACTCCCCAGAGAGTGCAGAGCCTGATGCGGGGCTTGATACTACAACCCCGAGATCATGACCTGGGCCAAAATCAAGAATCAGACACCCAACTGACTGAGCCACCCAGGCATCCCTCTTCTTTTTTTAAAAAAGGTTTTGAAGGTTTGCAGTTACTCTGCATGGAGCAAGTCTATTGGGTGCCATTTCTCCAATAGCATTTGTTCACTTCATGTCTCTGTCACATTTTGGTAATTCTTGCATTATTTCAGACTTTATCATTACTGTTTTTGTTACAGTAATCTGTGATCAGTGATTATGACTCACTGAAAGCTTAAATGGTAGTTAGCATTTTTAGTAATAAAGTGTTTTTAATTAAAGCATGCACACTGATTTTTTACACATTGCTGTTGCACATTTAATGGAATACAGTAGAGTGTAAATATAACTTCTACATGTACTAAGAAATAGAAGCAATTCAGTGACTTGCTTCATTGCAGTGGTCTGGAACCAAATCTGCAATATCGCCAAGGTATACCTGTATAAAGTAAAGGGAGAGGATAAATAATTCAGAAATATCTCTGGTGTGTGTTCTTTTTTAATCCTTATAAAAGCTTTTATTTACGGGACTTCTTAAAATTCCTAAAAATAAGTAATGTATAACATATTTCCATCCACATAAGTGACAGTCACATGAATTATTATTTTCATTATTATTAATTATGACAGCTAACATTTGAACACTTATTATGTGCTAGGCATTGTTCTAAGCATTTTCTATATATCACCTCATTTAACCCTTGTAACAATACTACAAGAAAGACACTTATTATAATTCGTAGATGAGGAAAATGGGACAAAGAGATTAATTAACTTGCTCAAAGTTCAAACTTTCAGTGATTCCAGGGCCCATGCTCTTAACCATCACACTATATTGTCTCTTTAGGATTGAGAAAAAAAACTTTTCAGATCATATCTAAAACTGTTTCATCACCTAGGAAATTTAATCAGAGCTACTGCTAATTAATTAACTCAATCATCTTTCCTCTGTCTTCTGTAATCTGCTCTAATTATTTAGTGGTACTAGTAACAAATAGAGAAACGGGTGGCTGGAAAATGGACCAAAAAAGATGGTTCGGGATTTTCTTCAAATAGTTGATTAACCTCCAAACATATGCAGTATTTTATAAAGGAAGATGATTTAGCAATCTACAATTAGTAAGAGAAAAACTTGTGAGTCTATCTTTTTTAGCAGCTTAGCAGCTAGGAAGACACATAGGTATGAGGTAATGTTCTCTAAACCAAACTTTACTTTTGTTATGGTAAAAGTTTATTCTTGGGCTGAAAAACACCCACTGGTGACACAACTTTTAGAATTTAGTACAGGGGCGCCTGGGTGGGTCAGTTGGCTGGGTGTCCAACTCTTCATTTCAGCTCAGATTGTGATCTCGGTGTCATGGGATCAAGCCTCACATCAGGCTCTGTGCTCAGTGCTGAGTCTACTTGTCCAGCCCTGAGTCTACTTTGTCCCTCTCCCTCTGCTCCTTCCCCTGCTTGTGCTCTCTAAAATAAATAAAAAAAATCTTTTAAAAAAGTAGAATGTAGTACACACTTATTGGATATTAATGTGTTTAAAATATTTCTGAAGTTACACTACTTCAAATATTATATTCCATACCAAAACTCAAATATTTTGTATTCAACCTTTTGGGTGAACAAAGTCTATGAATACACTGACATCTGTTTATCATTATTTAATTACATACATATATTATACACAATATATTTGTTAATACATTATAAAATTAACATCTTCAGCCAGTACAAGTTGATTATCTTATTATTATCTATACCAAACCATAGTTTTTATGAGAAATACTAGAATGAAGTATATAAACAGTAAGTGGTGAGTAATATAGGCTTCTTAGCACAGATATGGCTAAGCTTATGGGAACTTATGTTGGAAACCCCTTTTTCCAGACCAAAGAAAGTGGTGGAACAGTTGGGGTAGGAGGTTAGGTAAGACGATCACAATCATTTAGCATTTTCAAACAATATATGCTTCCCTAGGAATTCTGGAGAGCCACATGAAAAAGGATTATGTCAGTAACAACCACATTTCCAGATTTTAACTCTATTACTAATAGATCTTGATTTATTGGCTAGACACCCACTCTGTACAGGAAAGTGAGCATCCTTGTTCAATGTTCTACTCCCTCATTCGATGAGACTTTTCCATGCCACTTATGCAGTAAGCTTCAGGCTATGTGGAAATAATGCTCTGGAGCAACAAAAATCATGTTTGACTAAGATATTTAAATGTAAAGATTTACGTATTTTGATCTTCAGGCAAGTCTACAGTCAGTCTGTACTTACTGATTAGGAGTTCCAGGTGGAGATCGTGATGGAAGGCTTTGTGTTTCTAACCTGTCATCAGATATTGAATTTCTGCTTACCACTTCCCAATCCATTAATTTCCGTGCCAAGGGCTTACTTGGGGATCTGCAGAAATAATTTGATATGTAAAAATTTTTATTTTTATACCCTCAACTATAAACCAAATCTTAGAATTTGTCTTAATAGATCATATTCTAGATGAGTAAACATAGTTTACTTAAAAGAAATTAATGCATTTAGTGGCTATTTACCCCATAATTTCCTAAGAAATTAAATCTGCTTTGTATGAAGAAGGAAGGAAAGACATGCTAAGAGTATATCTTAAGACATACTTAAGAGAAAATAGGGAAGAGGAGAAAAAGAAAAGAAAGGAAAAAAGCAAAGGAGTAGCTGGCTACCAAGTTACCTCATTTATAGCAACATTATAAATATTGCCTATTCCAGAGTTTCTGAAACTTTAGCTCATCTTGTGATGTATTAAACAATTGCCAGCATATTATCTTCTAAATACCCTTAAATCTACACCCTGATCCTCTACCTTAATAGAGGATGGGGTGAAAATGATAATTATGTATATTATAATTTTTTACATTTTACATATAGTAGCAGGCTAGTGGATTGTTTTGTTTTTTAAAAAAACATTCTGTCTTGTGGTAAGGAGTAGAAGACTACGTTTTATTACCTATCTACATATTGTCAGCTACCACAGTGATGAAGATGAGAACTAAGTAATCTTTTCAGAAAAGATACGGACCTTTGTAGAATATTAAAAAATATTCAAATTCCTATAGTGGCCAAAATTCATGGAAAATGTATGACATCTACTTTTTGACATGAAGAGTTAATATGAAGGTTAATATAAGGAATTACACTACTTACATAAAAACACATAATAAATAATCTTGTAAGCTGATAGTTTTATATTTCACTAATAAATTCACTGAAGCACATAGAAATTGACTGGACTAAAAAGCACAGTAACACCAAGAATACTCAATAAAATTTATAGACCTAGTACGAAGCATTAAAATAATGATAAGTAGACAGTACTAGTTTTGACCTTTCATGAGACAAAGCATGTAAGTATCTATGTCTAAATATCTAAATTTACCAGTACAATGTATGACCCTAGGTCCTTCCCTACCTCCTGCATTTTATGATTTATGAGTATCTAAATTTTCAGTGTAATATTTTAGTCTATTAATTAAACCACAAGTATCTTAAATTACTTATGAATCCAAACCACACAAGTGCCCCATCATTTTGGGTATTCATAGCCAAAACCTTTTTTTAGTTTGGCCGAATGACATCTCCTTAATTTAAGAACATCATTTCCTAAAACAGATGTAATGCTATTGATTAAAAAAAAAAAAAAAAAGGCACTGGCTCAGATCTCATTTTTCATAAATGAACTCAAAGTAATATAAGGATGAACATTTCCCATTATCCTGAGTTCAAATTATAGGGTTTTCCTACTTGAAGACAATCAGGACACCATTTAGCCCAACATCCTAATATTGCTGTGCAAACTCATATTCCTTTAGTCACAATAAGATGGAAAAAAAAGAATATTTCATGCATTTGATTTTTAAAATGAAGAGTACTAAAAGAAACCTTAGCATTTACTGCTCTTCTATTAGCCAATTCTCAAAGTTAACAAGCTATTCTTTCCCATATATTAGACTACTAAATGTAAACTGCAGGAGTTCATAATCATAGATCAACTACTTACGTTTTCAAAGAGATGGAAAAAATCATTTGAAGGAGGAAAAAATCTAGCTATACTCACCCAGTATAGAGCATCAGAACACTTTACTGTTGTTAATAAACTAAACATGGTTGGAAATGCTCTGCGTTTTTTAAAACTAAATTTCAAGTGTTTTATTAACAGCTTTAACCTCAGAGACCCACCCACTCAAGCTTGCTGTCTGTGTTTCCTGTTGAATGTGGAAATTTCAGAGAAAAAAATACCACACTTCATCAGAGTGTTTGCAATGTGGTAAATATATTTTCTGACCATGGCACTGTATTCTTCTGTTGCATGTGAACATTCTTTTGCTTTTCTTCTTAGATTTTATACAACAACTGAAAAAGTGTGAAAGCAATTCAAAGAGGAGACATACTGGGGGGAAAAATTATTTATTTATTATTGCTGAAAACACCATCTTACATTGAAACTTTAAGAAGAAACCTTTTATATCTATATACCACCAATTAAAATTCTAAGAAGTGGACAAGAATTCTAGAATTCTCTAATAATTTAACAGAATAACTCAGCAATTGCTAAAACCATGAGAGTATTTTGGTAGATATGCATCAGGTCTCAGGTCATCACAAGATTGTGATATATTACAAAAACAACCCCAGAGAAGCTTAAGTCTTTTGGAGATGGCAAGATCATTAAAACAATACCATTAAATGCAACTTTATCCCTGTTGATGACTTCTTATTCAGAGGAGGATTCACGGAATTCCACATAACAAAAGAATTGGGACAGTTATTTGAGGCTTCTCATATTGGAATTTTAGCCTACTATTCGTTAATATTTGTTTTATAAAATAACCTATTAAACAATTTCTCATTTTAATAATGCATATACAAAATGAAGAACTAAGATGCAGGTATAATTGTGAATATTTCTCAAGGTCACATATGATCAAAATATTAAAGCACTAAAACTTATAAAGTAATTTGCATGGGATATTAACATTAATAAATACATCTATAATTTGGTGTTCATATGAGGATGTCATACTACAGTGGAACTAATTATCAAATCATGTTCACTATATTTTTTTAAAAAAGATTTTATTTATTTATTTGATAGAGAGAGACACAGCAAGAGAGGGAACACAAACAGGGGGAGTGGGAGAGGGAGAAGCAGGCCTCCCATGGAGCAGGAAGCCCAATGTGGGGCTCGATCCCAGGACCCCTGGATCATGACCTGAGCCAAAGGCAGGCACTTAACGACTGAGCCACCCAGGCGCCCCTCATGTTCACTATTTTTATAAATATCAAGCAAGAAAAAAACTTTAAGCTTGTTAGGAAAAGAAGAAAAGAGCTAAGTATTTTGTTAGATGCATTTTTAACAGAAAAGAATCAGAAAAATACTGATTTTGATTTTAACAAGTCTGAAAGAAATGATACAAATGAAATGTAGTACTAAATACTTGAATACCTTTTATATTAAAACAACAAAGTTAAGAGGAAGTAAATTATTTCATTCTTGAGAAATTTCAAGGAAAAGAATTTCAAAAACACTTTCTGTATATTTTACCTTCCTACAGGTGCTTAGCACTTTCTAACTGGAAACAAGGGTACCTAAGAAAGAGGGAAGATCTGAATAATTTCAGTAGCCATGTCTATTAGAGTAGGCATCTCTGTTCTTAATTTTTTTCTTTTCTCCCTTCCCTAATAATCAAGTAATCAAATAACCATTAATATGACAATAAGGTTTATATTTAATAGAGAAATGACAATATTTCCTTCATAAATCTAAAAACAAGACATAACAATAAATCAAATTCAGAATTTTGAACAAATGTTGAGACGATTTATATCATTCAAATTCAAGTAAGTTTATCACTGCAAAATGCTATCTAGCCCTGACCAGCTAAATCCCTCAAGTCATTGTCACTGACAGTCTTCCTTTTGGATAGATTATTCATAGACAAATGAGGATGAGGCTAAGCCAGGAATGAAGAAAAACAATGCACGTAAATTTTATCATTCAAACACATTTTGATTAATTTTTTGTTTCAAATGTCCTTACTCCAAGGAACTTGAAATAGCCTTTATTAGGGCGCCTGGGTGGCTCAGTCATTAAGCGTCTGCCTTCGGCTCAGGTCATGATCTCAGGGTCCTGGGATCGAGCCCTACATTGGGCTCCCTGCTCTGCGGGAAGCCTGCTTCTCCCTCTCCCCTCCCCCTGCTTGTGTCTCTCTCTGTCAAATAAATAAACAAAATCTTTAAAAAAAAGAAAAAAGAAATAGCCTTTATTATTTATCTTTACAAGCATTCAAGGCATATAGTACTGGCAAAGAGTCAGATAGTTTTAGCAGTGACTCCAACTCCAGAGGCAAGGAAGTGACAGGTTAAAAGGAAGAATCATAAAGTTAAAACTACAGTTTAGGATAAAAGGATTTAATTGTTTAAAGATTTACTGACATAAATGACTAGATTTTTCAATATAAAAGAAAATGCCTATAATACATTAAGTGAAAAAATAAGCAATAAAAAGTATGAAATAATTTTTAAATGAAATAAATATATATACACACACACATCTCTGTGAGGATATACATGGCAAAATATAGTAATAATAATGAATAGTAAGTACCAATTTTTTAAGGGGGGAGAGGGGTGAGGGAGGGAAAGAATCTTAAGCAGATTCCACGCCCAGTGTAGAGCCCAAAGTGGGGCTCCATATCTCAGGACCCTGAGATCATTACCTGAGACGAAATCAAGAGTCAGACACTTAACCAACTGAGCCACGCAGGTGCCCCCCCAATTTTTTTAAAATAATCATGTTGGGTTATGATTTTTCTTTATATTATTTGGCATGTTGGAATTTTTCCCTTTTTAAACAGGGAAACCTTGAACCCAGTTGGGTTTCCCATGTTTGGGGAAATCACAGGAGTCAGAATGACCTGAGTGCAATTTATAAGCCTTTCCCTGAGAGAGCCATCTTTGTGATCATAGTTATCTTCCCAGCCACATAAGTATTGGCATGTTGGGATTTTAAAAAAATAATGAAGTATCACTTATATAAGTAGAACAAACAATAAAGCAATTTCTCCTTCTGGAGAGAAAAAAGAGAAAAACAAAAACTCCTTTTACTCAAGAAACACAAAACAGGAAGGTCTTTTTGATGAAGACTAAGAGCAAAAAATTAAAGTAAAACCAAAAGCAAAATTCTATAATTAATTTTTTATGCCTCCAATGGCAGCAGACACCAAGCAGATGAACTTTTTAATTTAAGGACTTATTCTCTGTAAGCCATTTCCACTGAAAAAACACTGCTTCATTTAAAACACATCTACCATACCACACACATTACTACAAGAGCTGGGGCCAGTGCAGTGAATAAAACAGACAAAACTCCTGCCCTCATAGAGCCTACATTCTAGTGGGGGAGAGAGACAATAAAGGAAGTCATTCTTCACAGCTCTGAGACAGGAAGGCAGCCAAGCGTTCACCTATCTCATGCAGAACAGCAAGAACTATTCTGTAGAGGTTAAAAGTGTGGGTAAGAACTGGGAGGCCTGCATGAGAATCCTGCTACATCCCTTACTATCTCAGTTAAATTATTCAAATGCACTGTGCTCAGTTTTCTTACCTGTAATGGAATTTACCTCACTGAATTATGGGGATTGTGAGATCATACACAAAAATTGCCTGGCACAGATAAATACAAAATAAATGTTAGCCACTATTAGATACACTGGCTATCTTCTGTCCACTCACATCCCCATACAGTTGATTCCATCACAGCAGCCAGACTGATCCCCCACACCCACTCCCATATTTTATTATGGAACATTTCAAACATAAAAGTATAGAGAATAGTTTAATAAACACTGCACTCAGGACCCAGGTTCAACAATCATCATCATGGTCAATCTTGTTTCCTCCCTACCATTTACTTGAACCCTCTCACCCCAATTATTCTGAAGCAAATCCTAGAAATCATGGTATTTGTAAATATTTCAGTTTACCACTGTAAAACATGACAACTCTGCCAGGTTGTTAAAAATACAAGTCAGTTTATACTCCTTCCAGGAAGGGAGGATCTCAGCCCTTAAATCCAAAGTCCTTACCATTTCTAACATGGGGTCATTCAAGTTCTGGCTGCTACCTATCTTCCTCTCTAACCACTTTCTCTAGCGCTGCCTTATTCTTTCTGGCCCATTACTGGCCTGCCTACTCTTCCTCCAACATGACAAGTGGGCTCCAGCTCCATGGCCTTGTGCTGCCTCAGTCCTTTACTTACATCAGGTATCTGTTGCACCAAGCAGAATTTAAGCTCCATGGGACTAAGTTGTGTATTTTGTTCTTCACTGTATTCCCAGAGCCTGACACAATGCTCAGTAGAGTAGGTCTTCGATAAATATTTGCTGCCACCAATTTGGTCATTCTTCCTCCTTTCATTTATTGGATAATCCTGTTAAGACTGTTGCTCACACATCTCAAACTAGACCTGTGCCAGTTTAACTCCTTTTTCCAATACAAATTTGTTCTCTTTCCTGCATCCCCTTGTCCATTTTATGTCACTCAAATCTGATGGTCTTCCCAGATACTCCTGTCTCTAACACTACCTCCATCTAATTGATTAACAACTTCTTATAGTTCTACCTACAAAATGTTTCCCAAATTTGTTCCCTAGTCTCCATTTCATCACCACTGTTTTAGTTCAGGCCTTCGTTATTTTCACTTGGATTACCGCAATAACCTTCTAATTGGTTTCTTAGTACTGAGTCCTTACTTCTAACCCATTCTCTATCAACTGCTCATAAACCTGTTTTCTAAAACATAAACCTGACTATGTCATTTCACTTGTTAAAAAGCAAACTGGTTATAAACAGCTCCTAAAAATATCAAGATAACTAAATGGCACCCCAAAAAATAAACTTACTTCTTAACAATGTGATTTAAAGAAATACGGAAATGGACCGAATACTATATGAAATTAATCATTATGTTTTTCAAAAATGTTTTTAAAAATGAAGGAAATGAATTTTCTAACAAAATGTTACACTAATAATATAATACTTGATTCAGCCTCGTCAGAACTATAATGCTTGGCACAGGATTTATCTCACTCATGTAAAAAACAAAAAAAGGGAATGAATAAACTAGACAAATTATTTCATTACTCCCTCAACATAACTTATTATTTAATTAAATAAAGGATCATGTGATAATTCTGTAATCACACTTGGAAAAAGGGTTTTTAGTAATTTTAATCTTTTAAAAACAATTCAGAACTGAAATAGAGGTGGCTTACCTTGCAAATACCCTGTCTTTATTTGCTTTTTCTTTGCCATACTGAACTGACTGGACTTCAGTTCTCCCACTGAAATACATAAACATGCACAATAATAAAATCTTAAAGAGAACTCTAAGATAAAATAAGAACATACAACATGATTATATTACAACTTCGTAAGAGACAAATTTCTAGCAGAGAAAAGGGGGCAGAGGATAAGAAAAGACTGGACTAAATTCCAGTTCTACCTGAATGGATGAAGCTTATTTATGGCTCTTCCACTAATGAACAACGATGTTCCACAGACACTCCATTTTCAGATACTTCTTTATTTGAGAATGACTATCACTCTCACATCATAGGTTGGGTCTGTGATTTAGCTAGTGTCTCTACTACTCCTTGATGAAGGACCTGAAACATGGGGAATCTTGAGGATTCTTGCTCTTTTCTTGGGCTTTTCTTTCTTGTCTACTGATGATCACAGATATGAAGACTATTTATATCCTCAAATCCTTCCTTGTCCAGACATAGGCAACTCCAGACTTTTGTACACAGGAAGGAACTAAGGACAGAAATATGGTTGCAAATTGTGCACTGTAAGCAATTTGTCCTGAAGCCGATCCATCTAGCAAGCACACAGTTTACGCATGGAAACTGAGCCTCCTCTGTGGTAAAGCAATGTGTTCAGACCAAATCTGTTACTAAAAACTTGGTTCTCAGAGAATTTGCTACTTGACACATCACATTATTTAAGTGTGAATAGACATAAATGTCTAGTATATCAAATGTAACCATTTACACATATAGGTATAATTAATATAAGAATAGCCAAATATAGGTTTCCAAAGCAAAGCAAGAAATTTTAAGATCATCTTCCATGGATAAGTATGGATACATGTGAACAGAATGGTCCATCTGTTGAAGTTTTAATGGAAAAGTCAGAAACCCAACCATGATTTTTAAACTTAGGTACACTGAAGTTTCTTAAGAAAATATATTTCCTCTAAGAAGGATAAAGTATACTTGCAATTGTGAAAAAGGTAACAAATTGAGGTTCACTGTTATTTTGTATTTCCACATTAGAACAATGATTTTAATCCCTTGCATATTTTGGAAGAGAGATAATAAAGGTGTGTATTTGAGTAGGTTGATGGAGTAGAATTAATAAATTCTCTGATATCTGAATTCCATCTCTCAGTCTAAATAATATATCAACATTTTAAGTCTTACAAAAGTTCTAGTATTTCCAACCACTGCTTATTATGAGGGGAAAAAAATATTTATTTAACGCATACCCATTAGGGACAGGACCGTGTCCAGATAAATATTTGTCATGCTGCCATTCCTTCCTCAATTACAGGATTATTAATCATTTTGATGATTAAAAGGTATTTTGGCTATGTTTTAAAAGTTCGTAAGGACTACAAACATAAAACTTAACTTTTACAACTATAAACATATACGGTTTACCTATATACACTAATTTAATTTAATGTGAACTGAGCTGTCATGGGCCTCAATCCTCCTCCTGTGATCAGCTAAGTTTTGTAGGAGGCTTGCTAGACTCACAACTTCCTTTGTGAGTTGGCCTTCTGTTAGGTTCTACTTTTCTTCTGGTGGGAGATCAGAAAGTAGAGGAAGTCAAAAGCAGAAGACTGACAGACGCTGGTGGCTGCTGTAACAATAGTGGGAACAGAACGCTGGGAGAAACAGCACCTTCTAGACGGTGTGTACCATCCCTGATCAAAGCAGCCCCTCTCGGGCAGACCCAGAACCAACAGTGACAGTGGCTCTAACGACGGAATAGCAGGTTTAGGCTTACGGATACCGGCCTAGATGTAACACAAGTTTCCGATCCTTAAGTATTACCCATTCTTCCTGTTTCCTTCTCTAAAACCCTCCTTCTCCCTTTTGTTTTGACAGCCTCTCTAATACCTGTGTAACCAATTCCCTCAAACTGCTTTTATTTGAAAAATCAAAAGGACTTTCTGTGTCTCTGACTGATAATTTACCAGTAAAGAGGATTCAAATGGGACACTATTACTCAAAAGGCTGGATTAACAAGTTGAATTTTGTAACAAAAACATAAAGGTAAAATTGAAATATGAGGGAGCATAATATTTCACATTATCCATAATATTGTTTTTTAGGGTTTAATATTACTATTATTAGAACAAAATGCAAAACTGTACCATAGTCTAAGAACACCAAATTCTGAGAGTAAGATACTTATTTTTAGAACAATGAGAAAATGACAATTCGTAAAAGAATACAGGCTCATTATAAGTAATTTTAGCAACATAGGAAAGCAAAACAAGAAGATTTTTTAAAACTCCAAATTAAAGAAAATTAAATTAAATTAAAAAACAGTAAGACCCCCAAATTTAGCCAGAGTCTTATCCCTAAGAAATAATCTCCATTATCAGCAGGTAAAAATCATTCTAAAACTCTCTCTCCATACATAAAAAATGCTATAAATAGGGACATAATTCTATTAACAAAATGATTATGCTATATATCCCACTCTTAATGAAAACAGTATTAAACTGATTTCCCTTGAACTAAAAGAAAGAAAATGACTGCCATTCATATACAAAGAAAGAGAGATTAGGAAAACCTTAAGGAGTTGGTGTTATTAATATTTAATTTTTGTTAATATGGATTCTCATGCTTCCACTAGTCCCTTGCTTCCTCATTTTCTTATACTGTCACTTTTACTTTATCAAAGTTTATAGCATTTTAATTCTGTTCTATAGTCATATTTATGATAGTTATCAAGGATTAGTTCTAACCTTTATTCTTACTTCTTTTACCAAGATTCTTTTTGAGTCATGTTGACTTATCTTAAAATAAGTTTTTTTCTGGGTGCCTGGCTGGCTCAGTCAGTAAAGCATGTGACTCTTGATTTCAGGGTTGTGAGTTAGAGCCCCACATTGGGTGTAGAGATCACCTAAACATAAAATCTTAAAAAAAATTTTTTTTCCCAGATGGGCTCAGAGATGTTATATTCCCTGAAGTTTTGTATATTTGATGTTTATTGGCTTTAGACTTGAACGGCAAACTGGGTAAGTTTAATATTTTTCAGTCACTTTTTTTCTTTAGGACATGGTAGACAAAGAGTGGTTCACATTATTATTAAAACGAAAACCATCAACTTTATGCCAAAAAATTCATTAACTTAGAGGGAAGAGATAAATTGCTTGAAAAACATGAACTACCAAAGCTCACTGAGAAGAGAAAGAAAACCTGAACTGCTTTATATCTATTAAAGAATTTGAATGTGTTGCTCAAAAGCTTCCTATAAACAGAACTTCTGCTCTAGATGGATTAATTGGTAAATTCTGCCAAACATTTTTTTTTAAAGATTTTATTTATTTGAGACAGAGTGAGAGAGAGCGAGCGTGAGAGAGAGCACAACCATGGGGAGCAGCAGAAGAAGAGGGAGAAGGGAGGGAGAAGGAGACTCCCCACTGAGCAGGAAGCACGACGCAGGGCTGGATCCCAGGACCCTGAGATCATGACCTGAGCCGAAGGCAGATGCTTAACCAACTGAGCCACCCAGGCATCCCTTGCCAAACATTTAAAAAGGAAATAATACCATCACTACAGAAATTTTTCTAGAAAATTGAAAATGAGGGAACACTCCCAACTCATTCAGTGAGGCCAAAATTACCCTGACACCAAAACCTCACACAGATATTACAAGAAAACTACAGAGCAGTATCCTTCATGAACACTGATGTAAAAATTGTAAACAAAAATTTGGCAAACTAAATACAACAGCATAGAAAAAGGATAACAGATCATGACCAAATGGGGTTTATCCTAGGAATGTGGGGTGGGGTTAACACTTGAAATTCAATGTAATTCATCATACACATTAAAAAGAAAAACCATATAATCTTTGAAATAGCTGCAGAAAAAACATTTGTCAAAAACCAATATCCAATCCTAACAAAAACTTCCAGCAAATGAGCTGTAGAGGGAACTGCCTCAACATGCATTATATACAGCTTCTATGAAGAGCCTCCAACTAACATTGTACTTAATAGCAAAAGGTTGAATATCTACCCCCCTCCCAAGATAAGGAAAAGACAAGGATATTTATTCTCACCACTTCTATTCAGCACTGTACTGGAGGTTCTAGCTGGGGGAATAAGGAAAGAAAAAGAAATAAAAAGGATCAGAATGGAGAGGAAGAATTAAAACTGCCTTTGTCCTCTAGGTAGAAAATCTGCTGGAAGCTACAAAAAAGCTCCTAGAATAAGTGAGGTAACCAAGGTCTCACTAAACATTAAAAAAAAAGAAAAAAAATCAATTGCATTTCTGCTTAATAGTGAACAGTATGAAATTAAAATTTAAAAAGACCTCAAGAAATTAAGGATAAATTTAGCATAGACCTGTGAAACTTGTAAATTTGTGAAAGACCTGTACACTGAAAAACTACAAACTGAGAGAAGTAAAAGACAACTTAAATAAGTAGAAGACATACCATGTTTCATGAGTTTGAAAACTCAGTATTTTTAAGATGTCAGTTCTCCTGAAATTGATCTATAGTTTCAGCACAATCCTAATTAAAATCCAAGAAGTGGGTTTTGTTTTGTTTTGTTTTGTTTTGTTTGGGAGAGAAAACCTGAATAAAAACTTCTGTACATGAGCGGGAGTGGGGAGGTAGGCAGAGGGAGAGGGGAGAGGGAGAGAGAGAATCTCAAGCAGGCCCCATGCCCAGCGCAGAGCCCCACGTGGGGTTCCATCCCACAACCCGGAGATCATGACCTGAGCCGAAATCAAGAGTTGGACACTTAACTGACTGAACCACCCAGGCGCCCCCCTAAGAAGTCTTTTTTGTAGAAACTGATCAGCTAGTTCTAAAGTTCAGATGAAAATGCAAAAGACCTAAAACATTTGAAACAACTTTTAAAAAGAACAAAGTTGGAGGACTAATACTACTATACTTTAAGACTTATAAATAAATCCAAAAATAAGTCCACACAAATACTGAAAACTGATTTTCAACAAAGGGGCAAAGGCAATTCAGTGGAGAAAGGGTAATCTTTGCAGAAAATGGTGGTGGAACAACTGGCTATCCATATGCAAAAAAAAATGAACTTTATATAGCTTTTGTATATACTTCACACAAAAATTATTTCCAAATGGATCACAGATCTAAGTATAAGAACTAAAACTATAAAACTCTTAAAAGAAAACTGAGGAATAAATCTTTTCAGGCTTGGGTTAGGCAAAGATTTCTTAGCTATGACACAAAAGAAAGATCCATGAAAGAATACAACGGTAAATTAAATTTCATCAAAATTGTGAACTCTTTAGAAGAGGTAACAACAGGCACTAATGAAAATGTAATGGAACTCTGACAGCTGGTGAGTACATAAAATGGTAAAAACCGCTTTGAAAAAATGACTGGCAGTTTCTTGCAAAGTTAAACATACATCTACCTTGTAATCTAGCCATTCCACTCACAGGTATTTAACCAAGGGAAGTTAAACCATATAAATATTTCTACATGAATGCTCACAGCAGCTTTATTTGTAATAGCTCAAACCTGTAAACAATCCAAATGGGGAAACAACAATCACTTAATATCCATAAGCAAGTGAATGGATTAACATATTGTGATGTATCTACACAGTGGAATTATACTCCACAATAAAAAGAAACTAACCACCAATACAGACAACAACATGGATGAATTTCAGAATAATTATGCTGAATCAAAGAGGCTGGACTAAAAAGAGTATGTAACATGTATGTTTCAATTTATATAAAATCCGATAAAATGCAAACCAATTTATAGAGACAGAAAGCAGATCAGTGGTTGCATGGGGACAAAGAAGGGTGGAAGAAAGAGGTTACAGAGGAGCATAAGGGAAAAATGGGGGAGGATATGCTTGCTATCTTGATTATGGTGATGGATTCAGGGATGTAAATATAACTCCAAACATCAAATTTTAGAGGTTAAATATGGTAGCTTATTGTACACCAATTATGCCTTAACAAAGCTGTTTAAAAATATAAAATCTGCTAGTACTAGGCCCATAATCTCTCAAGGGCAATAACAGCCTGAATGGCAGGTATTGCTCCTCACCCTGCCAATATCTTTTTCTTAGATTGTTCTTTAGCTTGTTTTTACTAACTTCTGTGGTTGAAATTTCATTGTTTCAGTGATTTTTCTCCCAAACTGGTTTCTTTAACTGTCTTTTGTACTTGTCATTATGACTAGATTTTGTCTGCTGTGGTAGAGATTGGGTAAAATCCTTGATTTTTTTCTCATTGTATCTGACACCAGTGTGAATTACAGTTGAAGGCAGGTTACTACATTCTATGCATTTCTTTGTTGTCTAAAAGAAATGGTGTGTGTACATTTATGTATATGTCATATTTTCAAGGACAGAGGGAAGGAAAAATTCTGCTAAAGATAAGTGTAGTCCTTAGATAATAACCCTGACGGTCACTTAATTAATAATTAAGTTTATTGAGGGACCACTGTTATGGTCTACACTATTTTCTCAATGGAGATTTCTTCTGCCCCTCCTGAGATTTAGATAAGGAGGCTTTTTTATTTTTTTCTTGACTTTCACCAGTGATCTAATGGACTGTTCTCCCAGCCCATCTGCCCATCCATCTGTCCATCCGTCCATCCATCTGTCCGTCCGTCCGTCCATCCATCCATCCATCCAAGTAGGCTCCACACCCAGCATGGAGCCAAGTGCGGGACTTGAACTCATGACTCTGAGATCAAGAGTCACAAGCTTAACGCACTGAGCCACCCAGATGCCCCATCAGTCTATTTATTTTTAAATTTACGAGTACCATCACCTTAATTTTCTCAAAATTGCTTTTAGGAAGGTTATAGAAGAGTTAAAAATGACACCACTTAAGAATCTGCTGTGCCATTTTTGTGGTTAAAAGTTTCCTAGTTCTGTTTAAGTGTTGCCACTGAATTTGGGGGCTTTTTTTTGGGGGGGGCATATATTTTTAAGAGTATATTAAAAGCATTATACTGTTATTTTTTCTGAGATTACAAATTGGGCATTTATAAATGTTTGAGATTTGCAATATATATCTTTTCTGGGCCACATTTAAATATTTTCTACATGAATATATAACATGAATTAATCTAACACATAATGATAAAAGGTTTTATTTACTGAAGATGGAAAATCTTTTGTGAAGCAGAAACAGAAATGGATAACATTTGTTTTAGTAGAAGATTATGAATGACTTTGCTATGTGATTCTTACCAGGTTGCACTTAAAAACTAGCTTTCATGGATCTTTTTAGAATTCCAGAGGCAAAATTAATCAGAACTTCTCCAAATTTAGAATTATCCCTCAAAGACTTTCCTTCAAGAAAAAATAAAAGCTATCAAGAATAAATAAGACAGTTTTAGGAAAAGGAATCTGGGGTTATTGTTCAATGACTAAATGTGATGTTTGCATAATAGCTGGTTGAACTCTTGATAACAAAGGGTTTAACAAACTCACTCATAAAAAAGCAAAGTACAGTTATCCCCCACTTTTTCAAAGTTTGTGTTATGCCACTCTGCTTTTAAAAAAACGGGGAGAAAATAGCATTCAGCATTTGTTTTGTAGCAAGCCACTGTAGAGGCCGCGCACGCCGCAAGCAGTAAGAGTACCCCACAAAGCTCCTTCCAGTGAAGTACACTCAGCATCTCAGCATTAAGCCACCAGAGCTTTGAACTGTGTCTTTGAGTATCTGTGCTTCCTCTCAATTTATTTTGTGCATTTGTTAGCAAGATGTGTCCTATGAGAGGTGATTCTTGGGGTCTGAAAATGCGAAATAATTTTTCCATATAAATTAATGGTAATGGCTTCTTCACGCCATTTGGCTTACAAAAGGTTTCATGGGAACATTCTACTTTTGGATAGTGAAACTGGCAATTATACGCTCATGCAGAAGACACTTTTGCTTTTACAAATAAAGATGTCTTAGAACAAAGAAAAGTTTTCTTTTAAATATTTAACAAAGTCAATGGAATGCATAACATGTCTAGAACATAAATAATTAAATATGATTAATTTACTTTAGAAAATAATGATCTGAAATATAGTCAATGGAAGAGGTTTCTCCATCTGGTTAAATCACAAGAACCTTTAGAACTTTTTGCTGATCTATAGGGTCCATGCTCCAGAGAGTTTGATTCAGTAGGTGTGTACGAATTATAAACATTCTATGATTGATTAAAACAGACCTTTATTTTAAAGTGAGGAAAAATACAGTAACAAAGCATTAATGCATAAGCAATACTTACCAGTACCGAAATTTTGAACCTAATGTAAAATAATGTGCAAAAAAATTCTTTTGAGGTGGAAGTGGTCTGTCCAAACGGAAGAATGTGTGATGTTCTACACATGCTTTCCATAAATTTTTGCATGCTCTGTAATTCACCATATTAAATCCCAATAATGTTTCTCTAGATTCATGCTGTAATAAATGACAAAATGCAGAGAATACCAGGAAAACATCAGGGTCTAATGCTCCATTTAGTTTACTTTCTACAGATAAATATTCTAACCTTACAAACAACTAATCCTTGTAGCACAATACCTTTTTTGCTTATCCAATAAAAAAGCAGTAAAATAAATGGAAAGGTTTGCAAAATGTGGATCTCACCTCATTCTGTAATATTATGACTCAGGACTTTTATTTTAGAACATAGTTAGAAATAAGCTTAAAAACTGATATATATCTGTTTTCAAAACTTACTAGCTGTAATTCTATTTCAAGGTATAATCCTGGCCTATAAATTAAGCTTTAAGATATACTATCACACCTATTAAAAATAATTTGAAATTTATAAATCTATCTAGATTGTCAATACATAGGAATATTCATTCAGTACTTCTGAACACTATTACGCAACTCAAGTTTTAAAGTAAGCAGCAACATAACAGAATCGTTTTTCTCTAAAAGTTTGGCAAAAATTAATATTTAAATGGTTTCACTGAAGTAAACTATATGTAGTAAGGCACACGTTTTAAGTGTACAGCCCTGGTTTTCACACAATGAGTGCAACCATTTAAAACCCAACCAGAGTAAGAAATGGATTATTACTAGCAACTCTTAAGTATTCTTTGTGCCCCCTTTCTATGAGATTATCTTTGAAAAGGTAATTACTCTTCTGACTTTTATCACCATAGATTATACCTGTTTTTGAACTTTATATACATGGGATCACCCATACATTTCTTTAGGTCTGATTTCTTTTGTTCAGTATTATACATCTATATTCATCCATATGGTTGTGAAACTCATTTTCATTCTATATAATATTCTATCATATGAATATACCGGTTTAGTTATCCATTTGTTATTGATAGACATTTGATGTTTCCAGTTTGAGGATATAAAAATATGGCTATGCGTGTGCATTTCTGTTGTTGGATCATAAGATATCTGTGTTCATCTTCAGTAGATAATGCCCAACGTTTTCCAAAATAGTTAGATCAATATATAACCCCTCCCACCAGCAGTATATCCTCCACATATTCACCAACCACTCACTTCTCAATCTTTTCATTACACTATTCTGGTGGATGTGTAGAAGTATCACATTCTGGTTCTAATTTATACTTCTCTGATGATTAATGAGGTTCAACACCTTCTCATGTTACTGGCCATGTGCATGTCCTCATTTCTGAAGTACGTGTTCAAGTCAGTAGCATATTTTTGAATTGGGATGGATATATAACCAAGGATGTGGTGTATATGTGTGTGTGTACTATATATATCTACTTCACTCTCTTTTTTTTTTTTTTTAAAAGATTTTATTTATTGACTTAATTGACAAAGAGAGAGACAGCAAGAGAGGGAACACAAGCAGGGGGAGTGGGAAAGGGAGAAGCAGGTTTCCCGCTGAGCAGGGAGCCCGATGAGGGGCTTGATCCCAGGATCGAGGGATCATGACCTGAGCCGAAGGCAGAAGCTTAACCACCTGAGCCACCCAGGCACCCCTACTTCACTCCCTTAACAGTATCTTTTGACGAACAGAGTTTTTAATTTTAACACAGTCCAGGTTATTGATCTTTTAAGGTTAGTTTTTCTTCTATGTCCTGTTAAATGTTTGCCTATCAAAAGATATGAAGATAGTTCTGTAACTAAAATACAGTAAGATACCCATGTATAAACATTAAACTACTATGCTAGAAGATAATATGCTTAAAATACCTACTTCTTGATCACCGAAGAATTCTTAATTATGCTTAACAGTGGCTTTGTACGCACTAATAGTTTACATGTTGCACCACACTCCATAAATAATGCAAAATGACAGAGGTCTTACACAGAGCAGTATGCAGTAATGCCTCTCAGTAGAAGAGCCGATCTAAGAATCATATACGTTCTTTTGACACATTGCATAGTTCAAAAATTCTGTGTGATTCTGACTTTCTACTAATTGTATTTAGACAATTTGTAACAAATTTGCAATAAAATCCACCCTCCACATTTTTTATACAATAGATACAAAATGTTGTATTGAAAGATAAGTAGTTTCTATAAAGTTTGGGTATTTAAAAATAAAGAGCTGTTTCAGAGAGAAACATTAACAAGGCAACATTCTGTAGACTATGACTATATACGTCTTTAATCAGTCGTTAGATGACTTTTGTTGATGTTATCTGTGACTGAACACATTCCTAATGATATATTACCTTGGAGAATGGTTTTGAGGATTAAAAAGATATGAAAATAGCTGTGTAATTATCTAGTAAGACCTCAATAAATGTTAAATACCACAACTATTATTGCTAACAATGATAGTAATATTAATAGGAAAAAAATCAGAAAAATTGACTTCTACGTTGCCTTCTACCAATATAATAATTTAAAATATTTGTTCTCTCGTTTCCAGATAAGATGTTTTGAAACATGTAAAAAATGTTCATTAGCAGCATTAGTCATAATAGCCACAACCTGGAAATGCCAAAATTGTTCACTAACGTAAGAATGAGTAACTTATGGTATATTCACTTAATATAATACCATGGAGCAATAGAAAAACTATTGCTATGTGCAAAAATATGGATGAACTCACAATGTAAAGGTTAGATAGTAGACAAAAAGAAAACATTATGTATGACAATTTTTTAAAGCTCAAAAATAAGCAAACTAATCCATGGTGATACAAATGAGAATAGTATTTACCTCTCAGGAAGGTTAATGACACAGATGGGCATTAGCTCCATTAGCAATAATACTAAGGTGGTAGTAATGTTCTACAATATTAGTATTATATATTTATTATATACTTACCAAACACTATCCTTAATATTTGTATACTTTTCTGTGTAATTCAATAAAACTATAGAAAAAAACTTTTTTATTTTTGAGTATAAATGATAAATCATAGTCACTTAGATCATCACCCTCTGATAAAACGCAGCTGACTCCAATATTTTTAAGGTTCCAAATACATTTTACACATATATGCACACACAACCATCTTGAAATCTGCATTGATTTGTTAAGATTTCCAAGAAATAATTTAAGGATAAATTATTTTAATTTTGATTAGATAAAATCATTAACAAGGTGCAATTCTTTCCAACACTGTATTTTCCATGATAACTCAGTGTATTGTATTTAATATATAAAAAGGGTATCACCATTCCCATAAAGGGAGGAAACGTACTATACATTCATGAACTAGAAACAAAACTAAACACTCAGTCTCCCTAAAATAAAATGAACTACATAGGAAAAGAAGTGCTTCAGATTAGTAGGAGGGGGGGAAAAAAAAATATATATATATAAAAAATGTTCAGTTCCCACCCTCATGAATAGACCCTGGCAACTGAGAATGAACATCACGATTGAGATCAGTTTCAAAGTTCAAAAGAGAGCAAAATGGATATATAGAAGTACTTTAAATCAGAACCACAGTGACACTGGAAATAAACATTGTCATGAAATGCAATTAACTCACGAGGCAGTTATCAACAATATTAGTAACACTGTCACTCATACTAAAAGATCAGCCATGAATGACTTCATTTCTTAAAGACTTCATTTATGTAAATATTATTTATTTTATATAAATGTTATTTATATTTATACAAATATTTATAAGTATATTCATTTATACTAATAATTATTAGATCACTACTCACCACTTCTTTTCTAAGTTGAATAAAAAACTGTTTGCACTTGAAAGAAATTTTTATAATCTTCAACCTGGATAAAAAGAGAATGAATGGGAGTATTTAAAATACTGAATAAAAATAAAAACATTAACTTAGGAAAATAATGCAAAAAGTAACCTTTTAACTGTATTTCAGTAACATCTAAACATTCAATCATATATAGACACATTACATAAGAAATCTAAAGATTCTGGTGCTTCATGAAAAAATAATTAGAATCTATATAGTCAATTGAAGAAAGTTTTATCTGAATATTTGCTGTGAACTATACCTTTCCCAACTTTATATCTAGAGAAATAAAAAAAAACATGTCACAAATTAAAATTTCAAGATATACCAATGAGAAATACCAAGAACTACAAGCAGTTTTCTGGTTCTGTAAGGAGCTTAGAAATCAACACCTCTTCTTGGATTCCTAAGAGAGGGGAGGGCACAGGAACTGCTGCTCCCAAGATTTGAGAGACTAACAGGTGAATACAGAGAACTGCAGCTTACCAGAGCAGAGACTCAGCGAGCAGAAACTGCCAGAGGAACCAGTGCCAGAGGAATCTGAACTGTAATTTAAGAATTGTTGGAGGCTCCGTGTGGACAAATTCAAGATTGAAAAACTCCAGAGGGACCCAGTTATGGAGGAGGAAGGGCCGCCTGTAATATTGTGAAATTTACCTCGAGAAGCCCAACCAGATTCCCATGGTAAATACCAGACACAAATACCCTTGGGTTTCCAGCAAGGGAAGGGGAAAAGGAACCATTTTGAAATACACTCTGTTCTTTTTTTTTTTTTTAAACTAGTTCACCAAATCCTCACCTGCTCGGGTATTAGCAGAGCTTAACCAACCTGAGGAAGCCTAATCAGCTCACTCTAGCCATCCTATCTCACCTAGCAGGGAGGAAAAACACAGAGAAACACTTGTGAAGCTCACAGTCTAGAGGCATGGGCTCACTAAAAGAGAGAGCTAATCATAGGATACAGAACACTTGCCATCCCCCTACACCTCACAAGATTACTAAGGGCCTATTTATAACACTTCCTTTTACTGGAATATCACGTCTGGCTATCAAAAAATTATAAGGCATACCAAAAGGCAAAAACATGAGGTGAAGAGACAGAGCAGAACCAGATATGGAAGAGATGTTGGAATGATCAGACTGGGGATTTAAAACATCTATGATTAATATGCTAAGGGTTCTAATGGATAAAGTAAAAATCATGTAAGAATAGATGGGCAATGTAAGCACAGAGATGGAAATCATTAGATTTCCTTAGAAAGCCAACCCTCCCCCCACCAAATGCTATGGGTAAAAAACACTACCACAGAAACAATACTTTTCATGACCTTATTTGTACACTGGACACAGACGAGGAAATAATCTCTAAGGCAGAAGATATATCAATAAAATCCTAAAAACCCCAAAAGCAAAAAGAACATAGACTAAAAAAGAATGGAACAGACTATCCAAGAACTGTGGGACAACTACAAAAGATGTGACATACAGTAACATACGGTAATGGAAATACCAGAAGGAGAAGAGAAAGCAACATAAGAAATGTTTGAAACAAAAATGACTAAGGAACTTACCCAAATTAACATCAAATGCCAAACCACAGGTCAAGGAAGCTCAGAGAACACGAGCAGGATAAATGCCTTAAAAACCACACCTGGGGGGTGCCTGGGTGGCTCAGTCATTAAGCGTCTGCCTTTGGCCCAGGTCATGGTCCCAGGGTCCTGGGATCGAGCCCCACATCAGGCTCCCTGCTCGGCAGGAAGCCTGCTTCTCCCTCCCTCACTTCCCCTGCTTGTGTTCCCTCTCTCGCTGTGTCTCTATCTATCTAATAAATAAAATCTTAAAAACAAAAGCAAAAACAACAAACCACACCTAGGTATACCACTTTTAAATTATAGAAAATTAAAAATAAAGAAAAAATCTTGAAAGAAGCCAGAAAAAAAAAAAATCTTATCTATAGAGAAATAAAGGTAAGAAGAGTTAAATCCAGCTTCTCAGAAATCATGAAGCAGGAAGAAAGTGGGTAAAGCGTTGAGAGAAAAAAACCATCAACCCCAAATTTCATATTCTGTAAAATTATCCTTCAAAAATGAATGAGAAATGAAGACTTTCTCAAATAAAAATTGGGGGAATTTGTTGGAACGAGACCTGCCTTGCAAGAAATGCTAAAAGGAAAAAAAATAATATAGGCCAGAAACTTTAATTTATATAAAGAAAGGAAAAGCCCTTGAAGGACTAAGTGATGGTAAGATAAAAACTTGATTTTTCTTATTCTTAACTGATCTAACATATAATTTGTTCAAAATACTAAAATAAAAAATGTATGCAATTATGTATGTTTATGTACCTATCCTATATATACAATTATATACTTATAAATGCTTATATATAAGTGAAATGATTGACAGCAATGATACAAGGGACAGGAGGAAGAAATTAGTATTCTCTGATTATTTTTTTTTAAAGATTTTATTTATTTATTTGACAGAGAGAGACACAGCCAGAAAGGAAACACAAGCAGGGGGAGTGGGAGAGGGAGAAGCAGGCTTCCCACCAAGCAGGGAGCCTGATACGGGGCTTGATCCCAGGACTCTGGGATCATGACCTGCATAAAAGGCAGCCACTTAATGACTGAGCCATCCAGGTGCCCCAGTATTACCTCATTATTATAAGGTACTCACAGTACCTGTAACATGGTATACTATTATTTGAAAGTAGACTTGGATTACTGTAAATATAATTGCAAACTCTAGAGCAACCACTAAAAAAAAAATAAGAAGTAAAACTAATAAACTAGGAAAGGAGAGAAAATGAGATCATATAAAATGCTCAATTAAAACAAGAATGGCAGAAAAAGTGAAACAAAAATGGAAACAAAGAACAAGAGCAACAAATAGAAAACAGTAATGAGTATGTCAGATATTAATACCAATATATCAAAATCCTTTAAAATGTCAATGGGCTAAATATAACAAAAGACATTGTCTTTTAAGACATTGTAAAAATATTTAAACAGTATTTTAAATATAAAAACATATATAGGTTAAATGCAAACAAATGTATAAAAATATACCATGCTAAGACTAATTAATAAAAAGCAGGAGTACTAGGGATATAATGTACATCACGGTGACTACTGTTAATAATACTGTATTGTATATTTCAAAGTTGTTAGGACAGATCTTAAAAGTTACCACCACAAGGAAAAACAATTGTAAACTATGTGTAGTGATGAATATTGACCAGATATACAGCGATAACCACTGTGCAATATATACAAATACTGAATCATTATTGTACACCTGAAACTAATATAATGTTATATGTCAATTATATCTCAAAAAAGTAAGAATGAAAGCAAAGAAGAGTAGCTCTAATAATTTCAAAATGCAAGACTTTAAATAGTTATTGAGGATAAAGCAGGGCATTCCACAATGCTAAAGGGGTAAATTCTCCTAGAAGACATTATAAAATCTTAATGAATATGAAACTAACAACAGAGCATCAAACTACAAGAGGGAAAAACTGACAGAACTACATGAATACAGTATTGTATTCGGAGACTTCAACACCCCTTTATCTGAAATGGACAAACTCAGCACACAGAAAATCATTAAGGACATAGTTGAACTCAATAATATTATCAAATGGATATCATTGACCTTTACAGATTACTTCTTACAATATGAAAATATACATTTTTCTCAAGCTCATTTGAAACATTCACCAAGATGGATCATATTCTCAGCCATAAAACACACCTTAACAAATTTGAAAGAATAGAAATCACATAATACCTACTTTCAAAGCACAACAAATTGGAGGACGAAGGAGTAGGAGACCTAAATTTCATCTGGTCCCAGGAATTCAGCTAGATAGGAATCAAACCATTCTGAACACCTACGAACTCAACAGGAGATCGAAGAAAAGAATAGCAGCAACTCTGAACAGAAAAGCGACCACTTTCTGGAAGGTAGGATGTGCAGAGAAGTGAATGGGAGGTGATATTCGGGAAGATAGATGGCAGGAGAGGGGGCGTCCGACAGCCGCTACTGGCAAGTAATAGAGCGGCAGAGCACAAAATCGGAACTTTTAGAAGTTGGCTCTGCTGAAGGACATCACTCCAGTGGCTAAGTGGGGGGTGGAACCCGCACTGGGACAGTGTGGTCTCAGGACCCTCGGGGTCACAGAGAGACCGGGGGTGCCTGAGTGCAGCACAGCTCCCACCTATTGGAACAAGGAAGCCGGCTGCAGAGACGGAGCCGAGGAGCGGGCTCTCAGCTTGGGGTTGCCATGAACTGTGATCCATGGCACAGTCAGGCCACTGCTCCTCCAGCAGGGACCCAACAAGCAGCAGATCTGGGGAGACTCCCCTTCCTCCCCCAGGAGGAGCGGCATGGGAGCGCACCGCAGGGATCTGCTGGGTTTGGAGATTCCACACCGGGTTGGGTGCCAGAAATAAAAACGCTCGGTCACAGGCCGGGTGAGCACGGAGTGCGGCCGGAGACCGGGGAGACGGGAGTGACTGACTGCTTTTCTCTGGGGGCTCACTGAGGAGCAGGGACCCGAGTTCTCGGCTCCTCCAGGGCAGAGTTTGGGAGGATGCCATTTTCGCTCTCGTCCCCCAAAGCTGTACGGAAACCTTGCAGGGAACAAAGGCTCCTGAGAGCAAACCCAAGCAGATTACTTAGCCTGGACCCAGCAAGGGGGGGTGCAATTCCGCCTCCGGAAAAGACATTTGGGAACCACGGCAACAGGTCCCTCTCCCAGAAGATCAGCAAGAACAGCCAGCCAAGACCAAGTTTACCAATCAATGAGAACGGCAGAACTCCAGTGCTAGGGGAATACTGCACATAGAATTCATGGCTTTTTTCCCATGATTCTTTAGTCTTTCAAAGTTAATTTTTTTTTTAACTTTTTCTTTTTCTTTTTTTTTTTTTTAATTTTTCTTTTCCCTTTTTCAAACAACATCAATCCCCTTTTTAAAAAATCTTTTTTTGGGGGGATGGGTTAGCCTGGTGATGG